CTGCTTCAACATGCATAGGGTTTTGTTCTAAAATACCTTGAAACTCAATTAGATTTGAACCCTCAATTTAATGAAATACTGGTGGATTCATTAACCGAGTAATGCAGAATTTAATTATCCATGGAATGACCCTATGCAAAAAATAGAATTCAAGCAAAAAATGTAACTTTTTACCTAATTTACACGGATACTAAGGTTATTTAATATAACAAACTGTAGCACATCTTTGTGAAATTTGAGATGAGGCAAACTGCCATTGAACATGAAGGAGCAGTTCCTCTCACAGCTAAAAGCTGCCCTTCTGAAGAGGATCCAAGATGTTGGATAACCAAGGTATCCACAGATTTTGTGTACCCCCAAATATTAGATCCCTTAATTATTCTTTGTTTTGGCTGTCCCCACACCTCAATTCAGGCCAAATTCCCTCTTCCCTCACAGACATTTTGGCATGCCTATCTTCTGTTTCAAATCTTTGGAAGATTTGCAACACATTTTATCCATAGCTGTCTATATTGTATTTTTGTCTTTGGACTGTTTGAAACCTTCCCAGAGTATGCTGGTTTGAGGACAAATTAAGATATAAAATGACCAAATAAATAAAGTTTCTCTCCCCTACTTTGGAAAGCTAGCAATCCATCCTACTAGAGGACAAAGGTTTGCCAGAGGCAGTGATAGATTAAAAAGGATGCTAATTCTAATCAAAATACAGCTGTATAATCAGTGAATCACCTTCGATTCAGTCCACTCAACATTTCAGCTTTTTTAAAATCCCCACCAAATAAAAATCAAGGGTGTCCACTGCAAAGAATTACTGCAGGAAAGAAAAAACAAGAGCACTCTCTAATGTTGCAAGTGTAGGAAAAGAAAATAATTTGGTAAAGGCAGAAACCTATGCATATTTGGATGAGGAGAAAAAAACCCTACCATTTCCCAGATAGCACTGGATATACTGGGAGTTACAGGCCCTTTTTTTCTCCCGTTTAAACACATATAAAACTGCATTCTAAAATGGTTAGATCATCTATTTAATTTCATATCATATCCTTTCATTTCATTTCATGTCATGCTATGAAGTTCTATAGGGTGCAATAGCTGAAAGTCTCTGGATGGCTAACAAGGACCAAAAACCTTAAAAGTGCATGATGGAATAAAAATTTTTAGATATATAAAGAAAGCACACATACCAGAACATAAAGAGCTCTAAAACAATTTTAGGACGCAATCCTATGCATGGTTAGGCAGAAAATCAGACATCCGAGAACACCCGCCCCCTTGACCGGAACAGGCTGAAAAATTTATAGGATGGTTGTCTTTCATTCTCACCCTAGGAAATCCCATAGAGTCAATGCTGGGGTGGAAATCAGCCTCCCCACCCTCCCTATGGATTTCGGGGGGCAATTTGGGGCGGGGGCCCCGGCCCCCATCTATAGCACAGATTCATGACGTACGCACTGCCCCCCCCCCCATCCCCAGCACCGCCGCTTTCTCGCTCCCTGGGCTGGCTGCTGCTTGAGCCCGGCGGGGTCTCCCCCCTTGCAATCCCCGGGGGTCACTGCACCCCCGGCTTTCCCAGCCCCCCCGCACAGCTCCCGGGCAGCCCCCCCGAAGGCGGCCGGTGGGCTCCGCGGAGACTCACCTGATCCACCCTGGGAGCCGCGGCGCGCCCGGGCTGCGCGGAACCGGAGCGACTCCGCTTTCCTGGGGGGCGGAGACGGCACAGGAAGAGATTGCGGGGGGCGGGGCTTCTGCTGTGGGGCACACCCCCGCCCCATGGCATCCTCTCTAGCAATCCAAAGCGAGTCCATTTAACCCTTGGAAATCCGGCGCAGCGCCCGCAAGACCTTTTTCCTCGCTTCTCCAAACGGGCGCCCCCCGATCCGAGCCCGGCGGATCCACGAGTCCCCACCGTTTCCCTGAAGCCTTCGGAGGCCGCCCCAGCGCAAGGAGCAGCCCCCTTTCTCCCCCAAAGCAGCATCGGGTCTGGCTTTGGACGAGAAGCCCCCTAAACCCAGCACTGAAATGGTCGGGCATCCTGGGGGTTGCAGGGCTAAAACCCAGGCTGGGTCCCGGGGCGCCAACCCCTAAGAGAGGGGCAGAGCGCACAGATCCTACCGCTTGTTCTTCCTTAGGGGCAGCTACTAGCCCTCCCGGGGGCTTTGACTGTCGCCCCCAGACACATGCGCTCAGCCGCCTCGTTGCTTGCCTTCTCCCCGCAAAAAAGGAATTCCCGAGGAATCCCCCCATTCGGATCCCTTTCCACGTCATCCAGGGACGTGAGGAGGATGACCACCTTCTCACGGGTACGCTAATGGCCATTTGGGGTCCCTTGATTCAGCGGCAGGGGTCAAACCCCACAATCACGCAAGCTCAAACGCTGGGAGAGTCAAAAGAGGGTGGTTGAAACATGGGCTATCCTGTTGTCTGGACCCAGCAGTGACAGCAAGCCATGGGTTGTTAACCCCAAAGAGAATCCATGGGTTGTGAACTGTGGGTTGCTCACCGTGGATTATTTGGGCTGGGTTCAGACAACCACCCATGCTCAGTCCGTACTCAACCCTTGGGTGAGGGTTATTATGTTCCCTGAACATGGTCCCTTTCATTTCAGGTGCATCACAACCATCATCTCTGTTAAGTACTGGGCGAATGCCATCCAATTTCCCTGTGGCCGATGGTGTATCTGCTGTTAAATGCATCCATGCATTTTGTCCTTTCCAAGGATAGGAACGCAGCTCCCCAACAATGGGGCTGAACAGGTTACCCACCAAACTTTCTTATGTGACCTCATTCTTTATAGTTCTGGTTTATTATTCCATTTATATTCCAAGTTTCCCTCGTGATCCTCTTCCCTCTCTTTTATTTTGAAGGTAACCCTGTGAGGCCGGTTAGGCTGGGAACAGGTGGCCCAATGCCACTCAGTAACCTTCATGGCCAAGCGAAGACTAGAATACGGATCTCCCAAATTCCGCTCCAGTACTCTAACCACTAGACCACACTGCCTCTATGATTTCTTTTTCTCTTTTAAAAACTGCCCATTGGTGCAATTTAAAAGGAAAAAAAAGGGGGGGGATGTGGCTGGCTAGCCATTGAACTATTGGATTGACTTGCTCTGAGATGTGTCTCGTTTTGCAACCTGTGCTCAGTTCTGCATGTAATTTGTGGGGCTGAACAGATCCATGTATATTCTGTGCTTGCTACTGTACCTGTTATTCCTGTTTCATGCATGTCTGTGCAAGAGACAAATGTGAGTGTCATCCACATCCAAGTGAGCAACATGGATAAAATCAAGCTAAACATCAAAACTCAGGCAGAAAAAAGCTAAAATAGGCACAAACCCTTTAAAATGTTTTCTCCAACCTGGCGCCCTCCAGCTGTTTTGGCAAGAACTCCCAGGATTGTTGGCCACAGGGCACTTCATTGTGGCAGATTATTTTATGTAATTGTTTTATTTCCTGTATTTCTAAACTACCTAATAACTAAAGTTTGCATTCACTTAATGCAGGAAGTGCGAACATTAAAAGAAAACATTGAAACAGGACAGAATCGAACCAAGATAAAAACTGGCAGCAAAAAATTAAACCCTGACTAATTAAAACCAGCAATGAAAAATGAGTCCATGACTCTGTCATAAACCAAATTAAAACCACCAGCAGAATAAAGAACAATTCTGAAAATGTCTGGGAGAATGAGGGTACAATCCAGCAGGAATACCCATAATCCCCCAAAGCTGGAGGTTGTGGGCAGCTTAGGAAAATGATGGAGAAGATCCCCATGGTGTTTCTCCTGCCCTGCAGGCATCAGAGCAGGAGGGGAGGAAGCTGAGGGACCACCAGAATACGTCCCACCTCGAAAGGGGCAATCTCCTTCCCTGCCTGGCCCCCAAAAACACCTCCATAAAGTCACTCTTGCGACCTTGGAAATGCAACCAGCACAGTGCTTTCTGCACAGCTGTGATTGTAGTGGGAAGCAGAATCGAAATACAGATTGCCTTATTCCAGATCACAATAATATTCTCTTGGAAGAGTTTTAAAAATCTATTTAACAAATCATTGCACAGCCATTTAGTGGAAGTTTTCTCGAAGTTCCACAGCCGTCATTTATTATGACAAATCTGGGAAGCAACTTTATGAATTAAACATACTTATTTCCCAAGGAGTCAACAAGCTCTACAAACAAATTAATCAATCGAAAACAGGTTCCTTTTCATAAACTTTGGGCAAAGAATCATCATCATGAAATTTCTCATTTTTCTATGAATCATTATCTATAAGATGTATAAGAGTTTGCCTTTGCATTTAAGTTGCTCAGTATGTTCACACTGCATTTATTTAAATAGCATTGTTACCATATATTTCAAAATGCTATGTCAACTTCAAATTAATCTAGTCAAAATGGAAACAACCAGAGAGAATGAGGGCAGGCTAAGAGAAATGATCATAGGAGGCAGTTCAACCTAGCTGGGCCCACTACCAAGAAGACCCTGTCTGATTCCCACCAGCTTAATACCCATGGATGGACAGCAGATGAGCGCCAATCTTATGGAAAAGTAGGCTCATATAGGTGCAGTCAGTTCTTTACAATTATTCTTTTACGTGAGTTTCCTTGATGTGAAATATGGGCTCTATTATGACTGAATCACATTCTGTCCTCCAAGTGCTTTTATGTGTTCTTCCCTTCAAGTTATTTGGGAAAAGATACAACCATTTTCCACATTCCAGGCAAGTATATGGTTTAACCCATAAGAATTCTCTGATGAAAAACAGCGGATATCCATATGCAAACTTCTACACACAAAGCACTTATCTTGATTCTCCCTGTGTAAGATCTTTTGAGTTTTAACTCCTAGCATTTATATGGTTTATCCTGAGTTCTTTGATATCTACTGAGGTTTCTGCTCACAGTGAACCTCTTTTAACACTCCAAACCTAGATATGGCTTTTTCCCCTATCTGAATTATTTGATGCGAAGTGAGACTTGTGCTTACGCTAAAGCTCTTCCTTCACTCTGAACGCTGGTATGGTTTCTCTCCTGTGTGAATTTGCAGGTGTGTTTTAAGGGTTGACTTATGACAGAAGCTTTTTCCACATTTCAAGCATTTATATGGTTTCTCCCCAGTATGGATTCTTTGATGAGAATTGAGGTTTGTGCTTCTACTGAAGCACTTTCTACACTCAGAATATTTATGTGGTTTCTCCCCTGTGTGAATTCTTTGATGATAAGTGAGGCTTGTCCTTACATGGAAGCTCTTTCCACATTCAGAACACTGATATGGTTTCTCCCCAGTGTGAATTCTTTGATGCAAAGTAAGGCTGGTGCTTCTACTGAATGTCTTTCCACATTCAGCACATTTGTGTGGTTTCTCTCCTGTGTGAATTCTTTGATGAGAAGTAAGGCTGGTGCTTCTACTGAATGTCTTTCCACATTCAGCACATTTGTGTGGTTTCTCTCCTGTGTGAGTTCTTTGATGAGACGTAAGATTCGTGCTTCTGAGGAAGCACTTTCCACATTCAGCACATTTGTGTGGTTTCTCCCCTGTGTGAGTCCGTTGATGAGACGTAAGATTGGTGCTTCTGAGGAAGCACTTTCCACATTCAGTACATTTGTGTGGTTTCTCCCCTGTGTGAGTCTGTTGATGAGACATAAGATTGGTGCTTCTGAGGAAGCACTTTCCACATTCAGCACATTTGTGTGGTTTCTCCCCTGTGTGAGTCTGTTGATGAGACATAAGACTGGTGCTTCTGATGAAGCACTTTCCACACTCCAGGCATTTATAAGGCTTCTCCCCTGTGTGGGTTCTTTGATGAATGGTGAGATTTACCTTGTGACTGTAACATTTTCCACACTGTAGGCATTTATAGGGTTTCTCCTCTGTGCAAATTTCTTGATTTCTACTAAACATCTTTTTCATACTAGCTCTGCTTGCACTTGCCTTGGATTGCTTTTCAGACTCCAAGCATTCAAAGGGTTTCTCTCCCATTTGCCCTCTCTGATCAGAAGAAAGGCATGTTCTAACACCGAATCTTTTTGCACACTCCACACCTTTAAACAATTTGTCACCAGTGTTGTTTTTACAACGACTTTTAAGACTTGTTGGTGCATCAAAGGTTGTTTTATGCACAGAGCACTGACCTGTTTCCTTTCTTTCTTCTCCATTTTCTTGGACAGGCATTTCACAGCAGTCCGTGCCCTGAAAAGCAAAGGATTCAATCTGATGCGCTTGAGTTTCTATTCTCTCCTGGTCCAGTTTTTCATATCCTTCTCTTTCTGATGGCTCTTCATTTGGGCTTCTCTCAGTCTTGCCTTCCCATTCATCACCTCCTGCAGTGAAGAAGGGACACGGATGAGATTTAAAAATGGAACCTCACATCCTCCGGGAATACTTCTGATACAGAAAAGAGCTGAAGCATCACGGTGCATTTCTCACTTCTCCTGAGAGCAGGTGAGGGATGGAACCATGGATTGGAATCGCAGAAGCTGCACTCGCAAGACCTAGAGGCTCCACTAACATGAGCGATGGCCTGGCAGCATGGAAACAACTTAGTGGAAGCCACCCTCAGATAAAAGTTCATAGGCCCCTACATGACTCTTCAATAAAGCAGTGTGGTGTAATGGTTAGAGGGTTGGACTGGGATTTGGGAGATCTGGGTTCTAATCTCCACATTGCCATGAAGCTCACTGGGTGGCTTCAGGCCAGACCCCAGTCTAGCCTACTTCACAGGGTTGTTGTGAGGATAAAATGGAGAGGTGGAATGTCTTCAGTTCTTTGCATGAGGAAAAAGGGCAGGATAGAAGGGCAGGGTCAAAAAAATTAGATTCTAATTATACTATTCAACTTTTTAGAATTTATTGTCTTAAAGGTAGCAAGTTACTCCAGTCTGCAAACATTTCTAGAAACTCCAAATATTTCCTCAGATTTTAATGAGCTGTAGTTGACTCCTAAATTCTTGGTCTGAAGATGTGGTGCTTTTAAGAATTTATTATTATTATTATATTTCTATATCACCCATAGCCAAAACTCTTTGGGCGGTTTACAGCAATAAGCATAGAATCATATACTCAGGTCATCCATCCAGATTCTAACCAGGCCCAATCCTGCTTAGCTTCCGAGATTAGGCAGAATCAGGCAATTCAAGGCCTAACTTTTATTATTTATTTCATATGGCAATGGTACATTAGCCAGGAGGTCTACATGGTTATGCAGAATAGCTGCCTAAGTGGTGGTAGAACGCTTGTGCGGATATTCTTCCAATAAGGGAAAGTGGAATATTACTGTTTTGGGGGTCATAGAGCCAGTGCACTCAGAGGTATAGGAGTTCTTTTGGCTTAAGCCTGTGTCCTTAGTCAAAAAATGCAAGAAACAACCCGGCCTACTGTCAATGGAGACTCGATGTCCTGAAACATGCACTGCATACAAAGCATGCTAAAATTAGTTTCTTCCATTTGGAAGCAAGATGATGATGATGATGATGATTATTACTATTATAACATTTCTATGCCGCCCCTTGCCAAAGCCTCGGGGCGGCTTACAACACAATAAGATACATTGAAATACAATAGAACATAATAAATTACCAATAAATACAACAATACACTGAGATACAATAATATAAAATTAAAATTAACAGTATAAAATAAGTAAATAAAGAATATAGGAGGAGGAAAGAGAAGGAAGAAGAAGTTGCCCTGGCCAGATCATATGTTTTAACAATTAAAAAGATCCTGGCTAGGTTTGTACAACCGGGGAAGAAAAAGACATCAGAGTGGCAGGAGAAAAATTTCTGCGACTACTGTGCCACGTATGGGTGGAGATGTTGTTGGAACATGGTGAGAGCAGAGGGCAGGGGCGGGGGGCTTGCCAAACCACACAGGGAAACCAGAACAAGCTGTGGGTTGTGGCACTGCTCGGCTCGGACCACGTGGCCAACTCTGCCTGCCACAGATGGGTACACGAAGGGGGCTGCAACAGGAATGTACAACATGGGGGAAAAGAAGCCACCAGGGCAACTTTCCCCTCCGCGATCATGTGAATCCGGCCACGAGCACCAAGCAGAGAAAGATGGAGCCTCACCAAGCCGGGACAGGATCCCACGGTTCTCCTCCATGACTGCCCTGTACAGAGACCTCTGGTCCTCCTTGGAGAAATGCACGGCCACCTCCTCGAAGGTCACCCAACCCTGAAAGGAAAGGAGAAAGTTCTTCCTCCCAATACATGAAGATTGCAGAAGAAAGAGGTCCAAAGAGCACGTGGTTTCCTATGCACGCCCTTTGCACTGTTATGGGGCTTGTGGGAAACCTGATCTAAACCACCGTGTGTGGGGCTCACAGCCAACCAGGGGGCACTGAGCAAAAGCCAGGAGAAGCAGGGAGGTGTGTTTGGGGCCGGGGAGGGGAGAAGAGGACAGAGGCAGCCAGACTGCCCCTTGCCTGGCTCAGCAGCGACCCTTCTCCCTACCGGAGTGGGTCCCTCCGCAGCTCTTTCCCCGGCCGTGCAAGGGAGGGGTGTCCAGGTGTCCACTGCCAGCAGCATCTCATCACCTGTGGGAGACAAAAGCGGCACGAAACCAGGAGGGCACGCTCAGAAAATGCCGGTCTCATTACCCACTGGCATGAGACTTTCACTACTGCACCTGCGTAGAAACACCTCTCTTCCCACTGTGTCCCCGTTGCCAACCATCTCAGACCTGGTCTCCATGCAGAGAGTCTCCCGGCGTTGATAGCAAACGCCTTCCTGAAACGCAGGCCCGGGCAAAATGGAGCATTGATCCTTTCTCTCCCCCCACAAAATGTTTAAAGGAACCTCAAAGGCTGCCAGGATTTCTTGCAGAGCCCAGAATTGGACGCTGAGCGGGAACGTGGCTGGACATAACACGGCGGCTTCTCACTCACCTTCCCGCTTGATCCACCGCCGTGCTGGACTCGGTCTGCTGCCTGCAGGTGCCCTCTTTGCCTCGGGGAAATCCACGTCCGATGCTTCAACCAGGAGCTGCTCCTGCAACAGAAAGGAGGATGCGCGAGATGGAATGAGGAGAAAGATCAGAAAACCAGTGACCCTGGAGAGAGAAATCCCTATCTGGACAATCAGAGCAATGTTTTACTGTATCTTCCCTCACACTCTTTGTCCTTCTGGGTTACCATGATGGAAGTTCTCACCTGCTGTTCTCCCAGCTTCCTGTTCACCGCCTGACCCAGGAGGAAGCCTTCAGCCAGGGCCACTGCCTGGGAAGTGGTCTCCGGCCCACATTCCCTCACCCAGCTCCCTATCTCCAAGGGCAGGATGGCCAGGAACTGCTCCAAGATCACCAGGTCCAGGATCTGGGTCTTCGTGCGCCTCTCCGGCTTTAGCCACCGATGGCACAGGGTGTGGAGTTGGCTGCACGCCTTCCGCGGCCCCTCGGCCTGCTGGTAGTGGAACCGCTGGAATTGCTGACCCTCTGGGCAGGGCTCCTCTTCTCCCAGGATTCTCTGCACGGTTCTTTCCCAGAATTCCCCATGGCTTCCACTTGGGGTGGTACCAGGCTCTCTTCCCGAGCCTTTCTTCTCCATCTTGGATTAGTGTTTCAAGGAAGCCAGTGAAGGCCCGAAGGAATGCCTCATTCTTCTGCCAGTTTTTGTCTCAAGGTCGGCTCTACCATATTTGGAGGTGCTACCAAGTCCTGCAAGGCAAGATGTTCAGGATAAGATTCGTTCATTCAGTCAGTCAGTCGGTCGGTCTGTCCTTCTGCTAGCAACCAGGTCATCTCGTGAGGGAAAGCTGGTGCACAAGAGGCCAAAATCAACAACAGTGTGGCATAGCAGGTGGAGTGCTGGACTGGGACCTGGGAAATCAGGGTTATGGGCCTTATTTTTTCTTTTGTATTTTTTTTGTATTTTGTATTTAATGGTAATTTATTATGTGCTATTGTATTTCATTGTATTTTATCGTGTTGTAAGCCGCCCCGAGGTTTCGGCAAGGAGCGGCATAGAAATGTTATAATAATAATAATAATAATTTAGCTACCATGAAGTTCATTGGATGATTTTGGGTCAATCTCTGACTCACCTACCTCACAGGGTTGTTGTTAGGACAAAATAAAAAAGCGGAGGAGGAGAATCACATCAACTGCCTTGGGTTCCTTGTAGGATATTTAAATGCAAGAATCAAAATCAGGACCAGAGATGGGGTGAAGTCCCTTCACATGAGGCCATATGCTCTGAAAACGCTCCGTCTGGTTGTGGGCCCTGTGAGCTGCTCTGTTGTTAGCAACTTGTTCTCCCGTTCAAGGATCCCTCTTTGACTATCTCTGCTCCTTCCACATTCTCAGGTGGGCCCCATCTTCCTTTTGGATCCAGAAGCAATGGACAGACAGGTGGATTAAAGTCTAAAGATTTCATTCTAAAGCAGGCACAACAATGTAAACAAACATAACAACATGGAGGGAAAAGGGGAAAAAGAAATATAATATCAAACAATCTGGCTTTCCTCAATCGGCCGTCGGGAGCCCCTTCACGAATGGCAAGGAAAACCCTCAACTGGGCCGGTGTGCAGCACCTTCCTCCCTCGGCTCAGTCCACATTGAAGCTTCCCTTGGGTGGAGCTGCGAGGTTTTTTAATCCTAAATCTTAGGCTGTTAAGTGCTGCAGAAAACTATGTGCTATTCAAAACAGTTAATTGGCCACATCTGCTGTTCGCAGGTCTCACGATGTACAGTATTCTGCTGCATTCCAAGGTAGTACCATCCTAATCAGCAAGTGGCTTAGAATAACACTCTTCTGCATGCCGGAGAGCCTCAACTGAGTTTTTAAGCAGAGGGGTTGTTTTTAAGTTAGGACTAGAAGGGCAATTGTGTCATACCACCCTATCTCCTCCATGTACAATAATCTTCCGGT